AAGAATATTTAAACACAGAAAGGTGTACAACAATTTTAATGAGCTTTAGGGCATTCTAATTTTTTTAGAAGACCACAATAATTTTGTACTGTTATTAAGGTTTGAATGAATATTTCAATAGTACGAAAAAGAATCGCAAAAAAATAATAGCGTAATTACATTTAGGAAGTGTGATTGTAACTGTTCATTTTCTGTCAAATACAAAGAACAAGGACAAACTGATTTAGTTGCTAGTTGCCAGTTTCGCAGAAAGTGAGATTAAGGCAAGCGTTGATCCAGGCGACAAAGCTGTCAGCATCGTGCGCTGTGGAGTGACTAGTGTACTACCCATCCCACAGTGCTAAATAGCTAATACTCCAACAACTTTTCTTCTCTTTTCGACTCTTCTGACATGGATTCATGGGCATTTACAACCGTAGCAAAACAGCAATCCTCAGTATCACTCTTTCAGAATATAGAAAGGTAAAATTCGGGTGCCGTCAAATATTATCTCGCTCTTCTTCTGACAAGGACTTTTAAAACTAAATAGAGATCTCAAAGGTTAACGATGCGGTGATCTTCGAAATTCAGTCAGTGTAAAGTTCAAAAGTTGATGGCCGTTCAAAGTTCAAAGGTTGGTCTCCGTTCAAAGTTTAAAGTTTGCTCGCCATTCAAAGTCCAAACGTTGATCAAATTGCCAAAGGAACCGCCCAACTGTTTCTTTATGGATACACTACTCTACGTGGTCACCATCATGAAGAAATTCATCGCAGCTCAGCGTGTGGGTGATTGGTCTGGTCACTTACTGTGTACCCAGATGATGATTCCGTACATCTGCCCGTGTGGATATTTCCGTTATGCAAAATCTGCAATACAGGATGGCCCACTGAAAACAGTCAATGGCAATTTTGCCCACTTAACGACAGTTTTGCCAGAAACGCTCGAACACGTCAATTTTAGTTTTGAGGGAGACACCTAAATTAAGTAATAGGTACTCCTCACATAACTTTAACCCTGAGAAGGGGGCGAATTGCACCCCAAAAATGTTAAATGGGAAGGGGTAGTAGATGTTAGATAGGTCGAACTGTGTGTTCATTACGTTTTCAGAACTGTAGTTACAGAGAAAACTCGATTTAAATGGATTTGCAGAGCCGTTTTAAATGTTTATTAAGTAGGCGTTGAAGTTAATTCAGAGCTTGTGTCAGAAAAGAACATCTGACATAAACGCAATAAGTGCACAAGCAATGAAGCGAATTTGTGAGTGTGTTAAATTAACTTGTTTAATTTTGTGGTAAATTCAAAAACAATGACGGTTTAGACTATAGCGCAAAGGGTGGAAATTGTTTCGATTTTTTTTTAAATGGCGATTCTGCCTTCACAAATTCGCTTCCCTGCTTCGGCACTTATTGCACTTATGTCAGATGTTCTTTTCTGAAACAAACTCTCAATTATTTCAACTTCAACGCCTACTTAATAAACATTTAAAACGGCTCTGCAAATCCATTTAAATCGAGTTTTCTCTGTTCTGAAAACATAATGAACATTCCTTTCGGCCTATCTAACATTTACTACCCCTTCACATTTAAATTTTTTGGGGTGCAATTCATCTCCTTCTCAGGGTTAAAGTTAAGTAGTATTACTTAATTTAGGTGTCCCCCCTCAAAGCTAAAATTGATTTGTTCGAGCGTTTCTGGCAAAACTGTCGTTAAGTGGGCAAAATTGGCATTGACTGTTTTCAGTGGGCCTCCCTGTATAATTATGGTCTCCTTAAGAACCCGCCACCCTGAAGTTTTGGTGGAGTATATGAAGCATGGCTACTTGATTATCAACAAAAGTCAAAAATGGGTCATCATAGGCAGGAGTGTGCTCGGGCATGGCGATTGAACAGACTGTCATTCGATCCCTAAAGAGTGAGGGGGGGGGGTTACAAGAAAAAGAGGCATTGCCGGCTCTCTGCGGGCGAAATGGGTACGAGGAATTTCTGGAGCTACTACCGCCATATGCTCTCCTCTCTAGGAGTTTGCTAGAGTTCGCTTCGCGAGTGGCCAGTCGCGCGGACTTCTCCCACACCGAGTGAAATGGGATTCCAGTAGCACTTTTTGTTTAATTGCCGACCAGTAGGTAGGTCGTACTATTAGTAAGTAAGGATGTTGTCTTTGCGCATGGGCAGTGCTGAAGTCTGCAGGACGAAAGGTATTTGTGGAATGACAAGGTTTTGACTATGTTTTTCCGATTATGACTAATTCTTTGATTGTGACGATACAAGATAGTATAATCTCCTTATTTGAGTAGGATTTCCTAAATTTTTTCGCTTTTTTATGTGGGCCAGTGGTCCTGGATTACTGTCCTAACCAGTCAAATGCGTGCAAAAGCTGGCGGGGCCAGTGAAGTGTGGAATTAACGCGCTTGGGTCAGATTACAAGAAGATTTTGTTAATTTTACAGTCGTGGTTATCTAGCTTACTTAGTACGCAGCGTGAGATCTGCTAACTCAACGGAATTTCCATTCAACGCATTGTCGATTTATGTCTATCAAAACTAGAAAAGGTGAGTTTTATTAGTAGAGAAGGCCCAGAATGGGTGTGAATTAAAAAATAAAAGCAGTGGTAGTTAGGTTGTTGATAGGGTGCCCTGTGACAATGCGCGTTAAGCCACGAAAGAGTTCGCGTCGAACTGTTAAAAAATCACAAACAGCCGTAAGTTAGTGCAGAGTGGTTTTATAATTTATGACGAATTCAAATGAACCCGCAGGGCAGTTCAGGTCGTAATCCGTAACCTAGATGGCGCGAAAGTGGTGTTTTTTAGATTTTATGTGTAAAATTCGCTTGGAACCACTAGCGAGTTTAAATCAACCACCTTTAGTTTCTCTCAGGGATTATATGGCGCGAAAGTGGTGTTTATATTTTATGTGAAAAATTCGCGTGGAACCACTAGCGAGATTAAATCAACCACTTTTAGTTTCTGTTAACACTCTGTGTTAATCGATTTTGCACCTGCCTTTCGCTAGGACACAACCTGCCTAATTATATAATACAGGGGTATAATTATATTTCCATACAAAGTAGGTTTCAAGACCCATCACATACCGGTATTCAAACAATATAAAAAATTCAGCAATCATGAAAAAGTATCAGATTTGATACATATGGAAAATAAGATAGTAGAAAAATAGCACTGCAAACAAATGCATCAAATATATTACGCCCCCACATAAAGAAAACATAAACCCCCGATCCATCGTACAACCCGATACAAAATCGTACTTGAATTCCAAAGCCCTGTCCTCCGAATGGTTAAAATACAAAATACAATTGAAGAGTTACATAGCATTTTAACTACGTACACACCCTCTCCCAGATACCCTAAATTATCTAAACGCCCTGTATATGAATCTCAATTGAAAGCCACCACACCTATGGAAAGTTCCACTTTAACTACCTATGCAACGAAAACTACAATATGCCCCTCATAACAAATAATAAAATCCAG